TGGGGGTTGTCACAAGATAAAGAGGAATATGAGCTGCAAAAAAGAAACCATCAGTTAGGATAATTTCATCTAATTTCAAGAGACTTCTGAGAAAATATTCATCAACAAAAAGTCATGGGAAGAATAATCTATTTGCCTTTTAATGGGGTGGACTCACATCACTCAACCCACAAACTCACCCTCTCACACAATATAATTGGGTGGACTCACAGCACTCAACCCTTACTTATATAAATGGCCAACACATCACCGAAGCAGCGAACAACCTCGAACTAGGGGTAAGACTCCCTTTACCCCCCATCGTCAATTTATTAACACTAATCGAAGGAACCTCTGTGATAACCCTGTTCCGTATTATGCTAATTGGTCCTTATTATGAATTTGATTATGTGTCTAATATGATTTTGTGTACCAATTATGTGAATATATGCGGTTTTGAATTTCTATCTGTTCACCGTAGGAATATCTGTTTGATTATCTGCTTTGAAAATTAAATTGAAGGCCTTATCAGCCACGAAACCCGAAATTGACTACACCATTGTGATTAGCGTAATTTTTAGAGCCTACGGTGAAATTTAATTGAAAATTGTTTCGGATCAGATTAATTAGATTAATTAGTGGTGTAGTGTTCAAATTGTTTAATATTAAATAATTGTGACTGGTGGGAATTTATGTAGAAGGGCACTATATACTTAGTTCCTATACTTGAGCTCAAGAATCAGATTTTGTGCCTTGAGAGAGAGAGAAATGGAGAGAATTGTGTAATCTTGGCTCAAGGTTTGGGGATTTGAAGATTAAACTCAAGATTTGGCTAGAGTTGGGTATTGAAGCCTCTAGGTAAGTGAATTCATGAAATTTTAAGTTATCATCTTGTGAATTCAAGTTTGAATAATGGTCAAGAGCATGGATTAAATTCATTAAAAGGAAATTTAGTTGATTTTGTTGTATTTGAAGTCATGGAATGCATGCATGTGTATAATTGTTACAATTTTGGGTGTTCTAACATGTAATACGTTAAAAATGAAAAATAGAGCACCAAATCTCACATCCATAAGTGGTTTTGTGTAGCTTCATGATTTGGAGCATCATTTGTACCATTTGTAACAGGAATAAAGTCAAAATTTACATGCAAGCATGATTTGGATGAATTTCATGTGTTTATATGTTTTTGGGACTGAAATCATGAGTTGAGACCTTTGAACATCAAAAATTAAACTCCAAGACTAGTTCTGGAATTTCCAGAAAGTTTGATGTCCGCTCGAGCGGGGAAACCGCCGCTCGAGCGTGAATTTCGTGCTCCCAGCATTTGTTGCAGACATGATGTCCGCTCGAGCAGGGAACCATGTAGAGAGGCCTTCCGTTCGAGCATCAGAATGCACGCTCGAGCGTAAATTCGACATAGCTAGTACTTTTGTAGGCCTCATGGGTCCGCTCGAGCGGGGAAGTCCACACTCAAGCGGGGACCCTGTTTCTTGAAATTTTGAAAATGTATTCTGTGTTCCGTTTTCCGTTCCCTTTCACTTCTAAGTACTCTTAGGCATACATTGAGCATTGTAAATGAGTTAAAAGAATAAGAATTAAGCCTAAAGAGGAATATGTGAATTAAGAACGAATTGAATCGGTTATGACCCATATGTGTTATGTGATGTGTAGGGTCAAGCTCCAGGGCAAATCAATCAGCCGATCACTGTGAGTAATATCTCAATAAAGATATTTGGAGTATGTTATTTGTCCCCAATTTAAAATATCTGTTATGCTATGTATTGGACCAAAGTCCATCTGATACGAATAATAATCTGATACAAATGATCTGACACGAATGATAGTCTAATGATCTGACACGAATAATAATTTGACACGAATAACAGTTTGGCATAAACCATATGAGAAACTTATGTGCACTATTGTATAATGGTATACTTGGAAAACTAAGATTATTCTTGTACGGGGGCGAAATATCCTCTGCTTTCCGTACTCCTTGTACTCCAAGCCTCTCTTGATGGCGTCTACCTGGTAGCAAAGAAACGGTGAGCTACCCGGCGGTGGTGTGCCGGATAGACCCTCCGACGATCAAGTCAGTCCACTTGAGGAAGGAGAAGACAGTTAGAGAGAGTATTTTCTTTTGGGGAGAAGTTGTATACCTCTAACGTTCATCCTCCTCCCTATTTCAAGGCTGGCCATGCAGCCTCAAGATTATGCGCGCACTACCTCTATTGTCCTTCCCAAGATAGGTGGCAGTGCTCGCCTCTCACTACCTTACACGTGTAAAGGCTTTGTCCTCCCACCAGTACACGCAGAACTGTCTAACAGTATTGAGGTATGCGTGAAGCAAATGTCCTCTCCCTCATACCATTGGCCCAGGTGGCACACCAGACTGCAGTACCACGACCGGACTATCTCCCGCGCAGAACTATCACCGCAGGCGCTCAACCGCGCCATGCCCCACCGGACTGGCCCTTGTCAAAGGGGCAAAGGGGTGATGCTCATGGACCGGGCTGGAGTTGACCAGTTTGTCGTGGTATACCGGTCACGTGGCATGCCGGCCTCCGTCCGTTCTACCTTTATCTGAGGTTCTCTGGAATCTGCCCATCTCGGCTCACCGGTCAGAGACGTACCAACCATCGCTTGTCCATAGTTTAGCCCGAGCTATCCGTAGCCCAGTCTCGCCACTCGACTGTGTGCACTGCCGAATATTTGCGAGTCGCAGCTCGGCCAAGCTTAGTTCACGCCGGTCAACCGGTCTTTAAGACCGAGCAAAACAGATCCGTCACATCTTAGCTCGGCCGTACTAACGGCGCAAATCTCCCCTCTCAATTCTGTTTCTGTCTATCTGTTCCAATTATGCTATGCTATGACATGATATGGATTGTTCGGTCTTTAAGACCTAATGATTTCTGGTATGAAACAAAGTGTTGTATAGAACTAAGTGCTGCAATGCGAGTCACCTAGAATCCGTGCGAGACACCTCTTGAGTCCATACATACATGAACTGGGCTTAAAGCTGGAACAAAGTGTTGTATGGAACTAAGTGCTGCAATGCGAGTCACCTCTAGAATCCGTGCGAGACACCTCTTGAGTCCATACATACATGAACTGGGCTTAAAGCCAATCTGGGCCTATGGCCATTCTATATGAACTGTTAAGCCTGAGGCCAATCTGTATTTTCTGGTATGAAACAAAGTGCTGTACGGAACTAAGTGCTACAATGTGAGTCACCTCTAAAATCCGTGCGAGACACCTCTTGAGTTCATACATTCTGATAAGGGCTTAATGCCATTCTGATAAGGGCTTAACGCCACTCTGTTTAAGGGCTCAATACCACTCTGTTCAAGAGCTTAAAGCCGTTCTAATTAAAAACTGGGCCTATGGCCGTTCTGAAAGTAACTACAAGATAAGTCTGAAATGAAAGTTTGAAAGGCCTAAAGGCCAGTTTGACATGAGTGAATTGGGCCCAAGGCCGTCTGATGTATAATGTTCCAATGTATTTTCTTTATTTGATATCATTCATTAGGCTTTCGCTCATGCTCATTCATGTCTTTGTAGGTAAGCCAAAAGAGGTCCAGACCCAGCCCCGGTGAAGTCTGTATGGAACAATCGGGTTTTTGAGAGTTAGCCCATGTGTCTCACGCACAAGACTCGCCTTCGCTTTTTTGTCACTTTGTTCTCTATTGTCATGTTGGCGAAGTCTTTGTATATGTCAGTAGACAGTTTTCATGGGTTGACTTAGTTTTGGATGATTCTGTATGTGCAGAACCTTATGGTACTGTATATTTGTTGTGAGTTATTAATGTATGTATGTATAGTTTGTTTTGGCGTGCCATGTAAGCACAACTCTATGGACAAAGTTTTAAAAAAATTGCTTCCGTTTGGCCCCCGTTAACTCTATTAAAATACGTCTGGTTTGGTTTGAGGCCGTAGGTAATCTCATGATTACTGGCCGGTTATGTCCTTAACCCACGGGGGCAGGTTTGGGTCATGACAACCTCCTCAGAGGAAATTACTGATTTCTCCTTGCTCTAAGCTCAAGCTCGATTCCGTTTGCCCTAAACCCAATAACGCTGGTGATTTTGAATCCCTAACTACATCCTTAGCCCAAGACGAAACCCCTTTAGTAACAAAGATCATAATCATCACAATCTGAAAACAATCATATACATGCATACATATATATATATATATATATAGAGAGAGAGAGGCACCCTTAGTTCCCCTCAACCACCTCAACCTTGACAAACCCACAACTACGCCCATCCCTACCTCATCTACACCAACCACCTCCACCGCGAGATCGTTCTTGCCATTCGTGGCCTTAGCCTCGTCAAAGGGAGTGATTATAAGCTTATGCTTGACAATCGTTTAGGTATGCAGATGTTTGAGGGAGAAGAGATGAAATGAGATGAGTGCATACCATTGATCGTTACCGCAGCCAAACCAATCTTGTCGTACCGTCAAAGTGCTCATGGACCGGGCTGGAGTTGACCAGTTTGTCCTGGTATAACACCCTTTATCTTCTCCCTCTCTTCTCATTTCCTCCCTTTGAATTGTGTTCTTTGTTCTTCCTTTATGATTAAAACCATTAGGTATAGATTGATGTTGGGAGCTGGGGCTTTTGATTTTGATTTTTTTTTTTTTGTAATTTTTTTTTGGTGTTTAGCACTCGAAATTTTTATTTTGGTGATATTTTTTTTTCGATCGTACCTTTCACGACAGCAATTGCGTGTCGTGGAAAGTGCAATATTTTAAACGGCTAGCTTTTTGTGTGCTGTGAAATATTTAATATTTTTAACTACTAGTGTACGCGTGTCGTGTATAGTTGATGTGTTAACGGCAAGCCATATGAACGTCATAGAAAGTTTATTATTTACGGCTGACATTGCAAGCCATAAAAAATCATCATTATTAGCATTCGCGACCTACGCAATAAACATGTTGTGGTTGGGAAATTATTTAAGACATGCAAAAAAAAGTAAGTCGTAAAAGTGAGAAACCACGGCTTGCATTTACTGTATGTCGTTGATGTGAAGCCATAAAAACTCAGTTTTATTGTAGTGTATGAATGTAGTTTGAGTTTCACCAATGATTGAGGGAAGCACTGATTTCAATCTGTGTGATAAAACTCTGGCCAAGATTTTGCAAATAGATCCCACAAGACTTATAGGTCTATAGTCAGATAGACCAATTGGATTTTCTAACTTGGGAATGAGAGTAATAAACGTACTGTTAATGCCATAAGTGAGCCTGCTGTTGGAGTGAAAATCCTTGAAAAATTGCATTATGTCTGGCTTCATAACCTTCCAGAATTTCTGATAGCACAATAGGTTAAACACTTCAGGGCCTGGCGCTTTGTTATTGTTACATTCTTTAACTGCTGCTAGGACCTCAACTACACTGAACTAAGACACAAGATGTTGAGAAACATAATCTAACTTAATAGTATTGAACACCCCTCTCAGAATAAGTCTCTTAACCCATGTTTTAGTAAATTGAGTCTTGAAATCATGTAAAACTTGATGCCTAACCCTGCTAAGTTCCTCAAAAGACACACCATTAACTGAAATAGAGTTGATCAGGTTTCTACTCGGCCTGGTACTAGTAACAACATGGAAAAATCTAGTGTTTTTATCCTTATTGAGAGTCCAGTTCAATCTGGATTTTTGATGCGATATCCATTCTACCATTCTGTAGAGTTTCCACAACTCACCTCTAACCACCATTCTTCTTGCCTTTTCTGAAGCAACCAATGCGCTTTCCTCTGCAATGATGTCCATTGCATGTAACTCTTCCTCTGAAGTCTTGATTTTGAAAAAAATATTACCAAACACCTCAGTATTCCAAGTTTTTAAAACCAGCTTAAGATGCTTGAGCTTTTGAAGAAGCATAAATCCAGACCAACCAGCAAAGGTAGTGTTTGTCCAAAAAGTAACAAAAAGCTGAGAAAAATTGGGATGGAGAGTCCAAGCATTTAGGAACCTGAAAGGTTTAGAGCCCCAATCTCTGTCATCCTCCATCATCAGTAAAGGACAGTGGTCTGAAATTAATATAGGCAGTCCCTAGAGTTTCATTGTGAAATTAATCAGCCACTCAGGACTAAGCAAGATTCTATTAATTTTGCTCTATTTTTCTGATTCTTGGGTATTGCATTAAGTGTATTTCTTTCCATAAAGAGGTAGATCCTAAAGCTCACTTTTGCCAATGAACTCATTTAGGTGTTTTATTCCCCTATCCCTCCTAAAGCAACCTACCATTTCACTCATATGTCTAATTTCATTAAAGTCACCACCCAAGCACCAAGGATTAGGGAAAGGAACTTTGAGCTTTAGGAGATTGTCCCAAAAAATGAATCTGCTGCTGACTTCATTAGGTGCATAAATGTTGAGCAACACACAATTAAAAGAATTATATAAAGAACCAGAGAGCAAGATGTACCTCGTACTGCAGCAGCAACCAGAGAGTTGGAATACGTCAGGGTCCCAAATACATAATAACCCCCAGCTGTTCCTTCAGGATCTACAGACATATATTCCATATTTCTACTACCCCAGAGCCCTCTAGCAGCAATTTCAGAAACCACTGCCTTCTTGGTCTCTTGAAAAAAGACAACATCTATGTGTCTATCTTTTAGTAGTTTTTTTATTCTACCTTGCTTTTCAGCCTTACCCAACCCCCTAATATTCCAAGATAGAAGCTTCATGAGGAAACAAATGCTGCACTCAAAATCCCCCATCTGCAGCAGCTTGCTATTGTGCCTTCCCACCCTGGTTAATCTTCTCCTTATCCTTTAGTTCTAGATCAACAATCTTGCTGAGGACGACATCTTCTTCCCCATTGTATTGGATACCAAGAGTTTCCCCCAATTTTAGAGTGGCTTTGGCTTCGGTGAGTAGATAGTTGTTCAAAGGCGTAGCTCCCTCAGATAGATCTGATTGTGCAAAGGTAGCTGCTGCTGGCCTAAAGATGGCAGATTGAGATTGCTTGCTAACTGCAGCTGATGTGAAGGCATGAAGCCTAGCAAAGCTTGTGAACCCCTCTAGGTGAGACTTCATCTTCCCTTTTTGTTTCTCTTTTCGCAGTAGAAGATTAGAGGAAGCAGATGGTGAATATTGGCTAGAACAATGTTTGGTTAAAATACTCTTTCCGTAGGGGCCCTTTTTTATCCAAAGCCCTGTAGACTGTAAATCAGTGTTACATAGGGCTGGAGTACCCTTACCTCCCGGGCTGGCAGTAGTATGCTCAATGGACTTAGAAGGAAGATCAGTAAGTGGGTTCTTATTCTTATTGGGTGGCTGGGCCAGGACCACTTCCAAATTAATGCTGGGCCCAAGACCTTCACTAGATCCATTAAGACTCCGAATACCATTTTCTAGATGGCAGATAATATACCACATGATAGAGCCCCTTCCGAGGTTCCCTCCGTATTCCCGCCTGTCACTGAGGCAGAGGAGCCGGTCACTGCCGAGGTCAGTGAGGCGACTTAGGGTATTGAGGCCGACGTCGAGGCAGAGTTTGAGTCTGAGCTCGAGTCGGAGCCGCTACCATTGATTCATAACTACTTTGATCACTGCCTTATCTGATTCATCTGTTCTTTGCCACAGGGGGAGTCTCGTGCTTTCAGAGGGTACGAAGCTACGACTGCAAGAGATTGGTACGACAAGCTCCCTACAGGAGTTCGTGACATTGTGGACGAGACAGGCTTTGGCCTTTTCTGCTCTGACCTGACGCGGGTCATTGCTAGCCATCTTATTCTGGGAGTGCTTGTGGAGAGGTGGTAGGACACCACCAACTCCTTCCACTTTTTCACTATTGGGGAGATGACGATGACTCCCTACGACTTTGCAATGATCACCGACTTAGGAGTAGGGGGTGATCCGATCCTTTTCGACATAGACATGGAGGACTGGGAGGTCGCCTGGATCGAGTTGTGAGGAGCGCGTCCGCTCTTGTACTGGACAACTATGGTCAGATATAGCCGGTTCGCTGAGCAGTTTCGAGGGAGTGAGCCTGAGACATTAGAGGAGATGGAGCAGTATGCCAGAGGCTTCCTGATGTTTGTCCTCGGTACCACCTTGTTTTTGAACCGGTGGAACACCGTGGGCTTATATCTGTTGAGTGCCCTGGTGACCCTTCTTCAGGTGCACTTCTATGACTGGGGCGGAGCTGGCCTCGCCACCTTGTATGGCTACATAAGCTCTACCTCTTACCTAAGGGAAGAGCTGATAGGAGGCTACTGGTGAGCCTAGGAGGTATGCATTTCAGTTCTCTCTTTGTATTTTACATTTTCTGCTTTATATCTATTCAACACCTATGCTTTCTGCTTTGTACTTTCTGGATCTGTTCATGATGTATGCTTTCTGCTTTACACTTTCTATATTTGTTCATGACCTGTGCTTTCTGTTTTGTGCTTTCTGTATCTGTTCATACATTATGCTCACATATCACTGCATTTTCCCCGCAGCTGTAGGTTTATGCATATTTTTCGGCTCTCGCCCCAGAGTCCATGGAGGAGTTCCCACTGGTAGTTCCCTACTCGAGTTGATATGATGGCAAATGTCAGTGTAGGAGCCGCGAGTCTTTCGCATTCTTTTTCCATTATTTTGACAAAGTGGCCGCCTACGAGGTAACCCAAAACACAGCCATTTTCGCTTTACAACTGTTCTGATTCACATTTTAGCAACTGACAGCAACTAATAATCTGTACACTCTCTATTTGCAGATCATGTGGCAGCCTTGGGCCATGATGCCGGCTGGGGTATGAGACCAGTATGTAGGGGGCTGGGCCACTTCTTGTTTCTGGATTCTACTTGAGGGGCCAGTCTTCCGGGCCTGGTTCTTGAGTGAGCGGTTTGTCTGCCAGACCGTGGGTTTGCCGAATCTGATCATTCCGATGGCACCGCCAGAGTCTATGAGATCAGCATATAGCCTATTCGTCGATGTAGTTACTCAGTTCATGGTGGGCTTGGATACTAATTACTTCAGGGCAGAGGGTGACTATGCGACCTTTATCTAAACACATCTCATGCCACCATTGACAGACGTTCACGGAGGTGAGGGGATGAGGGCTCTTGCAGCGAGAGAGGCGACTAGGGCGACTAGGGCAACCAAGGCCTGTGCTAGAGGGGCTCTCCTTGCAGAGCAGAGCACTCGTTGGCCAAAGCTTCCTATCGCACTTATATGCTGGTGGCATATTGGGGTGACTTACCAGATCCCCGATCGAGCCTGCAAAGGCTGGTCACGAGCTTGTCGGAATTCGGGGTTTGTCTCGGGTATGGACCATACTTTACAATTTGCACCTCGTATTTCATTTCAAATATATTCATTGCAGACATTGATCATCCAAATGCATTTGCAGGCATCGATAGAGTACATGGCGATCACTCTCAAGCTGATAGCCTCCTTGATGGGTATGGTATAGAGGAGGGAGACGCTATTCGGTCTTCCTGGTATCCAGGTAATTTCTTTCAGTTTACACTTCATGCTATCAAATTTCCACTGATACACTGGCATTTCAACTATAGTCTTTCCAAACTGCACTGATATACTGCATTGGCACATTGCATTCATACTGCATCTGATTTCTGCATACCACTTATTCCGCATACCATGCTTGCATCTAATATGCACACTGTAACTGATATGCTGAAAACTATTTTTTTAGATCCCATTTGTACCAATAGCTCTAGCAGCGCCAGTACCAGTACTAGCGGTACCCCCTCCAGCAACAGGGAGGAGAGAGAAGGATAGGGGCACCCAAGGCCAGAGTAGTCCTTTAGAGCCCATCTTGAGCGATGACGATGCTGGGACCAGTGACTTTGAGGAGGCAGCGAGTCAGTATTCTGAGTCATCTGAGAGCGAAGATGATGATGTTGGCTCGGGTTCCGAGAGCGAAGGTGATGATGCCGAGGCGGGTTCTGGGGCAGAGAGTGGAGACGATGCCGGCTCTGGTTCAGGCTCTAAGACTAATTTAGACAGTGGTGCTGATGAAGATAGTGCCTCCGAGTCTTCTCCTCCGAGGAAGAGGACGAAGAGGGCCTCTCAGGCCTGAGGCGACTGGCGCTGATTTTTGATTTTTTGCTTAGTTTCTTTTTGTTTGGTAGCATTAGAAGATGTATAGCTTCATATATGTTTTATTTTTCTTTGAAACTTGTACTCCTCTTTTGTAAAAACCATGATTGAAATAAACCCCCGCAGTTTTTATAAAAAATGTTGTTATTTTTGCATCATGAGCACCATATTTGCATAAAAATGGACATGGAATTGAATTGACCAAGAGCACTTGATTGAAACAACGTTCTTAATCGGGTAATGAACCGACCACCAAACGAAATACAAAATGCAAAAAAAACTCGATAAGTAAAAACAACTCGATAAACAAAGCAAAAACAACTCAAATACAAATAAACAAACCTGCTAAAACTAAAAAGACTCAAAACAAGACTTTAAAACACACAAAGATGAAAACAAAACACATGCTTCCAGCACTGCTCAGCACACAAGTGGACAACAAGGCTTAGAAAAAGGTTGTCGGCCAGAGATGGAGCCTGTCGACCATAGAGGGTGGCTTGTCAGCCACAAGAGGTGGCCTGCCGGCCACCTGCTAGCCATCTACCGGCCACCAAATGTGAGAATCGCCAGATTGTTGACAGTTGGCTTCCATTCACAACCTTATCTTCTATAAAAGGTTTTACTACGTGAATTCTTCTCCAGAACTTCATTTCAACTGCAATTTCTTCACAAATGGAGCCATTTTTCGCCGAAAGGATCTTGGATTGGATAGCGACTTTAGACGGCACAGAAAAGGTAAATTTCTGGAGTTTCGGCATAAATGCGCTTTTTTTGTTGAGCCGAACTCCACTTTGTTTTCCATTCCTTTATGCCACCGTACGATGCTGGTACCCGATTACACATGCCTTTAGCTTTGGGGGACAAGAAATATGCTCGACAATGAAAGAATTTCAGGCATTAATGAAATCCTGGCGCTATGAGAAAATCGTGCCTTAGCCCCGTGTAGACACCTCATTTTTGACCTCCTAAAGACTTGGACGTCATCGATTGAGTGCTCGGTGATTGCGCATATTTGCGCTCGTTTGGAGTCCCCGGGGTTGTTGGCTGCGCACCCCGCCTCTGATTCTTTGAACTTTCTTGGTTTTGTGCTTGTTCTAAGCTAACCCTTGGTCTCCCCATTTGCCTGGAGGGAGAAGTAGGGGTGTAGACCACTTTTCTCCTCTACCAGCCAGTTTTCTCCCCTGTAGACCACTTTTGGCGGTCGATCAGCTAGGGTGGTTGGTCGGTCGACCACCCTAAGTAGTCTGCAGCCGGCCACCACCTTCTCCTCTCTTTGTAGACCCTTTTTTTCCCCTACCAGCCAGTTTTTCCCCTTGTCAACCACCTGAGGCGGTCGGTCGACTAGGGGGGGTGGTCAGTCAGCCACTTTAAGTGGTCTACGACCTTTTTTTCTGCTTTTGCAGATATTTTTGGTGCCAGCTGGTGGCCACTGAATGCATCCTCCATACACGTGTATAGAGGGATTCAAACAAGTTTAAGCTTGTCAAGCAAGCTTGTGGTTACATTGTTCTATAAGAGGGGAGCTCTCTCTCCCTTTCTAGAGGTTTTGAGATTTTGGAGTCAAAAAATTTCACTCTCTCTAGAGTTCTCTCCCTCTCTCTCTATATTGTGTTACATTGTGCTCAAAAGTGAGTGTTATTCACATTTTTTCCTACAAACACCTAG